CTTTATCGGATACTCAAGAAGAATGTGATCTAGGACTTATTTTTGAAAAAGATCTTAAATTTAGCAAACATATTTCTACTAAGATTAATAAGGCAAATAGTATTTTAGGCCTTATTAACCGGTCTTTTGAATTTTTAGATGAATACACCTTTGTGAAATTGTATACAGCTTTGATTCGTCCTCATGTTGAATTTGCAAATGTTGTGTGGAATCCATATTTAATGAAAGATATATCAAGTCTAGAAAAACTTCAACAAAGAGCAACAAAACTAGTTTCATCATTAAAAGATCTGACATATATTGACCGTCTTAAAAAGCTTAAACTGCCAAGTCTAATACATCGCAGATTAAGAGGGGACATGATTCAGACTTTCAAAATAGTAAAAGGCTTAGATGACTGTGTTTTTGAAAATTTTTTTAGTTATTCAGGATCAACAAGGGGACATAATTTAAAACTAGAAATGCCTCGTAGTAGAACAACTCATTGCCTACATCAGTTTTCAAGACGTGTAATTAAAACATGGAATAATTTGCCAAAAAATGTAGTAGACTCAAAAAGTGTTCATGAATTTAAAATAAAACTAGACCAACACTGGACCGGAGACACTCCATATAAAGTTTAAAATGTTTATTGAAAAATTATGCTGTTATAATTGTACAGCAGAGTGAACAGAAATAGATAAAAGTATATATAATTAAACAGAGAAGTGGTGAGAGCAATAAGAAGAATGTACTGAAAGATTGTCAAAAGAAGAGGGGCTTAAAAAGGGCTTGGCCCTTCCATCAGAGCCCAGAATCATCCTACAGGTATCCTACAGGTATAGTCAACTGGTCAACCCGTCAACGTTAATCAGCTGGCAAAGTCCAGTGACGTTTACAAAACTTATTTTGACCGTACAGTATAGGAGGAGCTTACAATTAAGCCTTCTTGGCTTAAATGCTCAGATGGAGAGGAGAGGAGGAGTCAACACCTATTTCTGGGTCTTGACCGGCGGTCTTGACCAGTTGACACTGTTTTAAACTCAGGGACCCAGCACAGTGTTGGGGTTGGGCGTCAGCGGACAAGTAGTTAAGGTGGTTGACTTCAAACCACTTGCCCCTCACCGCTGTGGGTTCGAATCCCTACGGGGACTTTGGATTCTTTCATGTGAGGAAGCTATCCAGGTGGTTCTACTCAGGTGCCTGTTCGTGCCTGAAATTATGCACGGAACACGGGAAGGGCACCCGAGGTCTTCCTCCACCAGTAAAGCTTGAACATAGTGATATGACCTATACTGTGTCAATGTGACATAAAACCAAAAAAAAAACAGTGTTTGGGCAATGTAAAAAGTAATTCTTCTTCTAGAAAAAAATATATCCTGGTTTCTCGTATTATCAAGGGGCTAAGGACTAAACCTGGTTGGATAATTTTTATAAAACATTTTGGTACATTATATTTTAGCCTGATACCCAGAAAAATACCTTTTTAAGAAAATATAATGGAAGAAAGATCGTAACAGTAAGCAAAACAAAAAATATTTCTGCTTGTATATACTGACCTTCACCCTCTATGTGAAGCAGGTGCTTTCTCATATTATTGTGGAATTTGATTGGTTGTTAAGGCTGGTAGCTATGTGATGATTTTATTCTACACACCAGTTCATATCATTAGTGCAACTCTTAATTAAGTGTTAAATGGCTTGGCCATGTAATTATTTAGTGTTTTAATAAAAAGGCCATAATCAAACTTTTTAAGATCATATTGACGCCAATTGTAACCAAATGATTTGGTTTTTGTGTCGCCTTGAAAAGGTGACATATAGGGGTTACTTTTGTCGGCGGTGTCGGCGGCGGCGGCGTCTGTGTCGGCGTCGTTGTCGGCGTCGGCGTCCGCTAAAGCTTGTCCGGAGCATAACTCAGTCACTATAAGTCTGATTGACTTCAAACTTGGTATGCATGCTTCTTTCAATAACCCGAAGTGCAGTGCACAAGGACCGGTACTCTGCAGTTCTTATTTTTTGAGTTATTGCCCTTTGTTAATTTTCATACTTTAATTTTGTCCGGGCCATTTCTCTTCAACTAAAAAAGCTATGGACTTGAAACTTCATAGGATGATAGATCTCATTAAGAAGAAATGCAGTGCACAAGAACAAGTACTCTGCACTTCCTAATTTTTGAGTTATTGCCCTTTGTTAATTTTCATACTTTATTTTTGTCCGGGCCATTTCTCCTAATGTATAAAAGCCATGGACTTGAAACTTCATAGGATGATAGGTCTCATTAAGAAGAAGTGCAGTGCACAACAACTGGTACTCTGCATTTCTTACTTTTTGAGTTATTGCCCTTTGTTTATTTTCATACTTAATTTTTGTCCAGGCCATTTCTCTGAAAGTATAAAAATTATGGACTTGAAACTTCATAGGATGATAGATTTCATTAAAAAGAAGTGCAGTGCATAAGAACTGATACTCAGCATTTCTTATTTTTGAGTTATTGCCCTTTGTTGCTTTTCTTACTTTATTTTTGTCCTGGTCATTTTTCCTCAAGTATGAAAGCTATGGACTTGAAACATCATAGAATGATAGATCTTATTGATAAGAAGTGCAGTGTACAGAAACTGCTGCTCTGCACTTATTATTTTTTTAGTTATTGCCCTTTGTTATTTTTCATATTTCATTTTTGTCCTGGCCATTTCCCCTAAACTACATTGTTCACAAGGCGACACATCCGACTCGCGGAGTTCTAGTTTCTAAAAATAGTTTGAACTCAGTTAAGTGTTGTTGTTTACATTATCCCTCTAAAATATATTAAGTTTATGTTATCTTATTAGTTATATGACCATTTAGCAATGAATACTACAGTTTTCCATCACAGCGGCACGTGTTTTTGTTGTTTTGATGTCAAAAATAAAAAATGATAAGGTAACAATGTTTCATTATTGGTTTTTAATTGGAGTTCATATGTTTTGTTTATTATCTATTTGTGGAACAAATATTTTTAGCTGTATTGTACATATAGTAGTGTGAGACCGTCATTTGAAGCGCTGTGTCAGAGACCCGCTACACTGGTTTCTGCAACATGGAAAAAACTAGAAAATTTATGATTTTGGGGAAAAAACAAATAAATTTAATATTTTTTCTCTGGATTTTATGATAATTTCCACTGTTATTTTGTTTTTTTATCTGTTTTTGTCGTATTTCTTTCATTATTTTTGCGAGAGATGAAAAAGCTCTGCTCAATCGACAAGTTTTTGGATATCGACGGAAGTCGCGAGCGTCGCTTCCATCCTTTTAATAATTCCACGATAATACGAGAAAACACGATAATACGAGAAATAGGGATACTAGCTGTATATAATATGAAATTAGGCAAAGCATATGAACAGGGAAGTCATTAAAAATTCCTTTCAGTTTTTTTTTTCGTTTTAAAGGTGTCATTTGGTATTTCATGCACCGCTTCTGTTTTCACTCGGAACACTCGACCTTCATGCATGTGACAAATGAAATTGGCCAAATCTGGATTTTCAGCTGGATTTTGAGGCTCAAAACTGAATTTTTTTATTGACTCGAATTTCAGTGTGATGTTTGGCACATTTGGTTCAAAGAATCTACATTACCCTCAAAATCATTAAATGATTATAATTGTAATGATTTTTTTGTTGATCAATATTAATTTATTTCGCCAAAAAAATTAAAAAATACAGTTGTGTCCGACCTAGCAAAAATACGATATTCTATCTGAAATATTGAATGGTTTAAGTGGGGACAATAATGTTATTGTTTACGTCTAGTGATGTCATTTATCTGCAATTCGATTTATGGCTTTATATGATTTACGTGTAAAAGACTTTGCAATTTTGACTTATACTGGACTAGTGGGGTTCAGCCGATTTGGCGAGTTCAACCCGTTGTCTATATACTATATGGGGAAGTCAAAGTCTGGGCCCGTTTTGCGGGCCCAGACTTTGGCTTGCCCGGCAAATGACTACACATGTATATTTAAAAGAAATTCAAATAAAAAACAATTAAAAAATATATAGAAATCTATGCCTATCAATTTAATTTTCAGTGTCAGTTCTAGTTAGGCGCCGCCATTTACAATGTAACTCAATGATAAAAGATGGTGTATTCGGATAACAGAACAAATCTCAACTTTTAGGATTAATCATAAACGTCCATACATGTGATATCCCGGCGGGATTTTAAAAAATCCCGATATTTCAACACTGATCCCCATTCCTGATATTACATGTACAGCTTGAATTCCCAATATTTAGAAAAAAATCAACATAAAAAAAATCAAACACAGTACCTGTATACATGTAAAATGTAAACCGTGCCTCAGGGCATTGATTGTTATCTGTCTACATCCTAAATTATAGTGGATTAAATGAAGTTATTAATATAACTTTCCTATAATTTAACTGTAAATTGACTAGCAATCTGGTGAACTTATTTTATGTAAACTTCTAATGATTAGCAAATAGCACAGAACTTTCAATGGTTAGCGCAAACAGATTTTTTTTAAGCTTTTATTTTCAGTGCTGTCTACAGGCTTTATTATTATTTTTTAGTTGAAATTTCTTTTAAAACAGAATGTAAAATATAATTTTTTTTTAAAATGAAATTTTCCTCTTTGCAAATTCTTACGTTATCTTGTTTAATTAATTAGCATTGAAAATATTTGAGTGTGCTGTCCTACTGACAGCTCTTGTATTTTCTTACATTTAAAAAAAAAATTCATGATAGATATTCATCATGACATGTCAAGCTTAAAATACTTGTCGAATATCAAGGCAAAATTTTTCTGAATCAGAATTATGCCCCCTTTTAAATACTAACAATAGTGGTGCATGCTGATCCTCGGACAGCTCTTTTCAAGCAGTTTATTTTAATTTTTCAAATATGATCTGTAGCCAGGCAAGGCAAATTTATAAACACATCAGGTCTGGTCTGTGACTTTTTGTAGGCGTATAAATCAAAAATATTCAGAGCAACTCCCAATTCTTTCCATGAAGTTATAGTAAAATGTTAATGTTCTCAGCCACTCATAGTTATAACATGGAATGAAAGTAATATTTCGTCATATTTTCAGGTCCACCCGTACCTTCAAGACCAGCCCCGTCGGTGCCTGGAGGGGTCCGCCCTCCTCCTGCAGTACCTCACAGAACAATCGGTAGGTATACTTGTCATCACTAGAGCATGCTTATAAAAGGATATCACATATATTAAGTTTTAAAATCTAAATTTAGCAAAATTGTCAGGTAGATATCAAGTGTAATAGGTTCTAAAGATTTAAAAGATGATGATTGGAGGAAAGCAACTCACTTTGAGCATTCAAAAAGGAATAGGTATCATGAGGAAATTTATTTATGTGAATTTATTATAGATAGACTGTGTTGAAAGCTATAAGCTTATTGAAACACTCAGTGACTCTTAAATCAATCCTGAAACAACTATTGCCAAACAATGGGTGTAAGGTTTTGTTTGTTTAATTTGGTTTTACGTCACTCGGTATAGGTCATATGGCGACATTCCAGTTTACTGGTGGAGGAAAACCTCAGGTGCCCTTATGTGCATTATTTCAGGCACAAACGGGTATCTGAGTAGAACCACCAACGTTCTGTAAGCTAGCTGGATGAGGGTAAGGCTTCATGATTATGAGAGCAACAGTTTGCCCCTCACGGTATTTGAACCCAAGTTGCCAGCAATCCTTAGATTACAACTCTGTTGCGTTAAAAACTCTGCCATGCTACCACTTGAGAAAATTTAACATACACAGTTCAAAGGTCATTTAGTGTAGATTTTAGAATGACCATGGTGATTTTTTTCAGAGTAATGCACTTTATAGACAAGTAATTTATTTTCACTGCATCAAGCAATAGATGACATTAATTTTATGTGATCATTTATGATGGCGGACACATAGCCACCAATCTGATTTGTCATGTAAAATTCAAATTATCTTACTGAGTTTGAGAACTTTATTTTAGATGCAGAAGAAGTGCACTCCAGATCACAGCCCCCGCCTCCACCAACTAGACCCTCAGGTCCAGTCAGACAGGAAGTCCCTCCTCTATCGAAACCTCAACCCCCACCACCTTCAAGGCCCCCTGAAGTGGCTAGAGCAAAATCTAGTATCATTAAGGCTCCGGATAAGTCAAATAATGCAGCTGTACGGAAGTAAGTGTTATCAGATAATTCTACCCTTACTTAGATCAACAAATTATAGCCAAGTTTTGTAGAATCTTACTAAAGTCCAATTTTTTCATATCGATATTCACAGAATATTGATACCCATTGTTAATATATGCATGTATAATTGATGTTAGCTATCAGTGAGACATAGTGTGCACTAAACTTTGCTTATAATTGTATTATTTTCAGGAGACCAGAAATTACTATAGTGAGTGCGCGGCCCATGAGTGAGATTGATTTTAAGGGCACAAAACCTGCTCTATCTCCTACCAGTCATGTCAAAGAAGAAATCCAACCTGCTTTAGTACCTTCATCTTCACCTAAAGAGAAGGAAATATTTGCTGCACCAGCTCACCCTCCTGCTCCAGCTCCGAGAGTGTCCCCAAGGGTGGAAAAGCCAGATAAAGCACATACTAGTCCAAGGGGAGCTCCCCCACCTGTGCCTAGACATTCTGTGATAAGGACCAATGTTGATGAGGAGAGTGATATTGTGCATGAATCAAAATCTGAGGAGATTAAAACTGTTCCAAGAGGCCCTCCACCACCTGTGCCTAGACCTACTATAATAAAGCCTAATGTGCCTCCTTCAGTACCCTCAGGAAGAACTCCTCCATTACCAGGGAGGCCCCCTGTTTCACCAAAGGTGCCTCATCAGGGAATATCTGAACATTTTCTGGAACACAATTTAGATAGTCATGACTCTCAGGTTTCACCACCAATGCCCCATGGGGCACCCCCACCTGTGCCTAAGGGTCCTTCAGTTATGAACAAGTTACCATCCCCATTAGTGCCTCGTAAGATAAATGATCTGCCACAAAAAGATACAAATGAAATCCACAAGAACTCTGTTGACACTAATATAAATGCTGCTGACTTACAGGATAAAACTGACACTGTTGAAGATGTAAGTGAACTATATGCTGTGATAAATAAACCGAAGAGACCCACAATAATCAGACCTGGTAGACCAAGTAGTACAGTAAAAACTGAATCAAATACAGAAAATGAAGCAAGTTCTGCAAATGAGATTAAGCCAAAAGTTTCGCCCACACCTAGATTACCAAGAAACATTAAAAATGAAAGTGAACCCTCAAATGTAGACAATTCATTGGATGGCAGTAAAGAACACTCTGAAAATAAAAGTGATGCAAATCCAGTTCCAGAGTTTCTGAGAAAAAAATTGAAATCAACCGTCGATCAAGGTGACAAACAAGAAACAGATGAATCTGGTCCCACTGCTGGCGGTGGGCCAAAGGTTCCTCTTAAACCAAGACCCCTGTCATCCAAGGGACCGCCCCCAGCAACTAAACCTAAACCTTCTGTTCTTCCAAAGCCACAGATTGCTTCAAAGCCACAGTCTACTGTGAAAGCACCTGAGACTGAGTCACATGAAGCGACATTCAGTCAGAATGCAATGGAAAAGAAAAGCATTGAAAACCAGTCTGAATTTCATGATAATGAAGTACATAAAGAGGCTGTCCATGAAGTTCCACAGCAAGTTAAACCTGCAATGACGAAGAGACCAACTATTATTCGTCCGAATAAATCAGTTAAAACAGGTAGTGTAGAAAATGTAAGTGTAGAGAGTAGAACAGAGAAAAGTGATTCTGATAAAGTTAATTTATTCAGTGATGACAGTGCCATAGATGTGAAACATCGCACGCAACCACCTCTCCCGAACAAAAGACCTGTCTCAATGATCAACATCCATAGAGCCGTGGAAAATGAAGAACACAACATGTCAGAAAATCTTTCATATAATTCATCACGATCTATAGAAAATGTAAGTGAACCTGTCAGACCTAAACCTAGACCAGCTGCAAGATCAAGACCGGTTACTATGATCGTCCCTCCTGTTTCCCGGCCTCCATTACCAAGTGCAGGACCAAAGCGCGACAAATCTGGCCAGCCATCTAGGCCTCTTGGAAGACCACCAGTCAAACCTCCGGCACCTGAGATGGACAATCATGGCAAAAAACATGATAGTGAAGACGATGTATGTGACAAAAAGCCATTGTCACAGGTTCCTTTTGGTGTGTCAGTGTTTCCAAAGTCTGAAATGGAAAATGATAGCCCTCCAAAACCGATTCACAGGCCTCCACCTCCAATGAAATCCCCGCGAAAATCTTTAGACTCTTCGGATGATGAGGAGTTTGTAACAGCCAAAGAAAAGCCAGACAGACCTACAGGTGAAAGTTATTCTAATTATCAGCATGTTTAATGTGATATGCTTATTTAGGGTTTAGGGTCAGTAGACCCCCAGAATTAAAAAAAAAAATTCTTGAAAAATTAGAAAGTAGTTTTTTACTATGAAAATTTTAATAAGTGTAAAAAATTAGAAGTTAACTATTTACGATTCTGTGGTAGAATGCACTTTACCAGTATGTGCTTATAGAACATGTCTGAAATTGAAATATGGTGGCCATTTATTTATTAAATCAATGGGGGATGATGTAGAAAAAGCAGGGTTTTGGGGGTGGTAGCCCTAAATATGAAGCAGACAAGCAAAAGATTGATGAACAAATAAGAACAGCCCTTCAACTTTGTTCCTGATAAGCTGTTGCTTATATCAAATATGCTATCTACAGGAACTTCTGGTCTGTTTCTATGTGCTGGTAAAGTGCATTTACATGTATACTCTTTGTTGGTCTAAATTTCATATATTATGAGGCATGGAAGAGAAAAGATAGTTGATATGGATTATGGCCCGATTGTTATATGCAGGCATTGGGATTAAATGTTTCATTTTTTAGCTCACCTGTCACAAAGTGACAGGGTGAGCTTTTGTGATCGCTTTTCGTCCGGCGTCCGTCCGTCCGTCCGTCCGTCGTCCGTCCGTCGTCCGTCCGTAAACTTTTGCTTTATATGACATCTCCTCATAAACCACTGAGCCAATTTCATCCAAACTTCACAGGAATGTTCCTTTGGTGATCACCTTTAAAAATTGTTCAAAGAATTTAATTCCATGCAGAACTCTGGTTGCCATTGCAACCGAAAGAAAAATCTTTAAATATCTTCTTTTAAACAACCCTAAGAGCTAGAGCTTAGATATTTGGCATGAAACATCTTCTAGTGAGTGTCTACCAAGTTTGTTCAAATAAAAGCCCTGGGGTCAAAATTGGCCCCGCCCCGGGGGGTCATTGATTTTCCCTATATGCATATAGTAAAAACTTGAAAAATCTTCTTTTAAAGAACCCAAAGAGCTAGAGCTAAGATATTTGGCATGAAACATCTTCTAGTGAGTGTCTACCAAGTTTGTTCAAATAAAAGCCCTGGGGTCAAAATTGGCCCCGCCCCGGGGGTCATTGATTTTCCCTATATGCTTATAGTAAAAACTTAAAAAATCTTCTTTTAAAGAACCGTAAGAGCTAGAGCTTAGATATTTAGCATGAAACATCTTCTAGTGAATGTCTACCAAGTTTGTTCAAATAAAAGCCCTGGGTCAAAATTGGCCCCGCCCCAGGGGGTCATTGATTTTCCCTATATGCATATAGTAAAAACTTAAAAAATCTTCTTTTAAAGAACCCAAAGAGCTAGAGCTAAGATATTAAGCATGAAACATCTTCTAGTGAGTGTCCACCAAGTTTGTTCAAATAAAAGCCCTGGGGTCAAAATTGGCCCCACCCTTGGGGGTCATTGATTTTCCCTATATGAATATAGTAAAAACTTAAAAAATCTTCTTTTAAAGAACCATAAGAGCTAGAGCTTAGATATTTGGCATGAAACATCTTCTAGTGAATGTCTACCAAGTTTGTTCAAATAAAAGCCCTGGGGTCAAAATTGACCCCGCCCCAGGGGGTCATAGATTTTCCCTATATGCATATAGTAAAAACTTAAAAAGTCTTCTTTTAAAGAACCTAAAGAGCTAGAGCTAAGATATTTAGCATGAAACATCTTCTAATGAGTGTCTACCAAGTTTGTTAAATAAAAGCCCTGGGGTCAAAATTGGCACCGCCCCAGGGGGTCATTGATTTTCCCTATATGCATATAGTAAAAACTTAAAAAATCTTCTTTTAAAGAACTCAAAGAGCTAGAGTTTAGATATTAAGCATGAAACATCTTTAAGTAAATATCTACAAAGTTTGTTCAAATAAAAGCCCTGGGGTCAAAACTGGCCCTGCCCCAGGGGTGTCATTGTTTTTAACTATATGTGTATAGTAAAAACTTTAAAAATCTTCTTTTAAAAAACCCAATGAGCTAGAACTTAGATGTTTAGCATGAAACATCTTCTTATGGGTGTCTACCAAGTCTGTTCAAATAAACAAATAAAAGCCCTTGGGTAAAAATTGGCCCGGGGAGGGGGGGGGGCCTATATACAGGTGAGCGACCTCAGGGCCATCATGGCCCTCTTGTTTTTTTTGTTTTTGTTTTTTTTGTTTTGGGTTTTACGTCACATCGACACAGTATAGGTCATATCGCGACATTCCAGCTTTACTGGTGGAGGAAGACCTCAGGTGCCCCTCCGTGCATTATTTCAGGCACGAACGGGCACCTGAGTAGAACCACCGACGTTCCGTAAGCTAGCTGGATAGCTTCCTCACATGAAAGAATCCAAAGTCCCTGTCGGGATTCGAACCCACAGCGGTGAGGGGCAAGTGGTTTGAAGTCAACGACCTTAACCACTCGGCCACGGACGCCCCGAAAAATTTAATGTTTCATAAAATGTTTAATGCTGTGAATTCATTAATGTTATTCCATGGCAAAAAAATCAAAAAAATCTTAGACCTTGCAAACATTTCACTACATTACAGCTGCACCAGTTCGCAGGTTTTCCGGTTCTGTTCATAGAGATTCTGGTGAAGATGATGTGAAAAAACCACCTCGTCCAGGCCCACCTCCTGCACACAAAGGTACCGCCTTCCATTCTTTATAATTGTAATCTTATAAAGTAAGGATGTTACACATCACTGTCATTAATCCATGATTCTATACTTTTTTTTAGTTTCAAACATTGTCATGTGACATATATTTCACTGATATATTTTAAAACCGCATTGAAAAGCAGGAGATACAAATATTTCAGGGGCGTCCATGGCAGAGTGTTGAAAATCTTTGACTTCAAACCACTTGCCTCTCCTGGCTTTGAATCAGCCAGGGACTTTCATGTGAGGATGCTTCCCAGTTAGCTTATGTAACATTGGTGGTCCTACTTAGGTGCATGTTCATGCCTGAAATAATGCACGAACATGCATCTGTATTCCTCACCAGTAAAGCTGGAAAGTTGCCATATGACCTTTACCATGATGGTGCGACGTTAAACCCAACAGAAAATAAAATGCAAATTCTTTTTCCTAGATTTGACAATACTAAACATTTAAGCATTAAACTGGATGTTTTGCGTGTTAATAAGAAATAAATAGTTAAGTTTATACAAGGAAAACATGAGAATTGATTATAATGATATCACAGTAGTTCATGTATCTGAGATAGAATCACTCTCTGAGTGAAGTAAGTTGTTGGATTCTTAAGAAATGATCTAGCAAGCTTATATATGAGCCGCGCCATGACAAAACCAACATAATGGGTTTGTGACCAGCATGGATCCAGACCAGCCTGCGCAGTCTGGTCAGGATCCATGCTGTTCGCTTACAAACCCTATAACAAGTAGAGAAACTGATAGCGGACAGCATGGATCCTGATCAGACTATTATCTTAGTGCAAAAACTTCAATGTAGACTACTTTTCAAACATTTTAAAAGTTAACAACATGGAACTTTATATACATGTACTTGCTTATCATGATATAATGGAGTTTTCAGACAAAGGACATAAAACTAAAAAATTTTAATGACAAGCATTAACACAGCATGTAGAGCTCTTGTTATGTCTTAAACCCTGTCTATACATAAAAGGAAATAGAAAAACTTGATTTTCATTTCAGATGAACATGATGAAGATATAGTGAAGATTAGACCTCCAAAGCCAGAGGGAAGACCTCAAAGACCAATGTCAATGCCTGTAAAACAGTGAGTACTAAATCATTGTCCAACTTAAAGCTACATGCCTTCAGATGAGCCAAGCATGTTCAAGAACATCAGTCTTATGAAAAATGTACTAAGAGTTTAAGAAAAGTGAAAATAATTACAATTCAAGTAATAATTGACAAATAAGATGGACTGAATGACCGATTTTACAGTATTTATCACCATATTTCTACTGTGTGACTAACGAAGTAAGGACCTTTGTTGCACATTTTTAGATTTATTTGGTAATTTACTCGGATTTAATGTGTCGTTTTCAATATGTAAATTACTGTCTTTGTTTACTTTTAAAAATTTTTACTGTTAATTACATTTTACAAATTTTTATAAAAATTAACATAAATCTGGGGGCATGCTGCTTTAAAACCTTGAGTACACAATTTGTACATTTACAACTTTTTTCAGATAATGAAGTATTGAAGAAGTAAGGTTAAAGTTTTGATATTTAGATTGTTAATATATTTACTGTTATTGATTAAATAAGATATATATTTTTCACGAGGAATTTCTCCAGTTATTCAGAATATGTATTTGCAAGATTTTCTCTGTTATATTCTATATTATAAGGTATATTTATCATGTGTTGCTCATATCAGTTATGTAAAGAATTCAACTCCAGCGTTTAAGATATTTTATGACATGGTGCCTTTTGTCTGGTCATTCTCCAGTAAAGTTAGAAAATTTATATTGTCCTTTCTTGACAACCCAACAAAAGAGCAGATCTGTACTTTATTGCAAGAATAGACATTTATAATCAATCAAATGAGCCGCGTCATGACAAAACCAACATAATGGGTTTGCGACCAGCATGGATCCAGACCAGCCTGCGCATCCGCGCAGTCTGATCAGGATTCATGCTGTTTGCTATCAGTTTCTCTACTTGTTATAGGGTTTGTAAGCGAACAGCATGGATCCTGACCAGACTGCGTGGATGAGCAGGCTGGTCTGGATCCATGCTGGTCGCAAACGCATTACGTTGGTTTTGTTGTGACGCTGCTTAATATGTTTTCAGAAGTCCACCACAAAAATCTGCATCACAGAAAGCTCAAGGTCCAAGTCCAGGAAAGAAGAATTTACCCTCGTTGCCATCACGACCAAAGCCTGGTCATCCCCTGTACTACCATATGATGCAAGTTCCTCATGGGATAGCTGTACACGATTATACAGCTCAACATGATGATGAACTTAGTTTTAAAGTAATCTTTCTCAAGATTTTGAGATTGTTTTATATAGCATGAAAGTGTTTTAAGTTGCTCTTATACATGTTTGCTGTGTTAATTTGATGAAGTGTTTGCCTTTGGTTTGAGAGGTCTGAAGTCTGATATGTACCTTAGATTTTAGAGGTATGAAGTCTGATAATGCCTAAGATTTGAAAGGTCTTAAATCTGATACATGCCTTAGATTTGAGAGGTCTGAAGTGTTACAACCTTAGGATTATTAAAATAAAAAGAAAGCAAATGAGTAAGAGGCTAAATTTTGTGAAAATTTCTAATCAATTTCATGAGGATATCGTTAGAAATTCAAGCATTAATAAATATATTTACATTCTTAACCAGTGTACTGCTTTCATGTAATAATAACCTTACTTGATGAATTGTTTTATACACAATCAATATTGACCTTATGTTAGGAACTATATTTGTCTTCTTGTTACAGACTGGTGAGTTAATAATCCTCGTAAAAAGAGTGGATGGTGACTGGATACTGGGTAAAGTTGATGAGAGAGAAGGGATGTTTCCTCAAGATTTCGTCAAAGTTAAGATGCCATTCCCTGGAGAGGTAAGCAGTAAAAATAGAGAGAAAACTATACAGTTAATTTTTGTTGATGCCCACTCCATTCTTTGAAGCAATGAGAAATATGGGGACATTTTAGCTTAATAGTCTATGTGTGATTTTTCATAAACATGCATGTATCTGGACATTTGTACATTGTATGCTAGAATAGTCAATAAGCTATTTTCTAAGTGGCTTCTATTATGCTTCAAGCATTCAATGATTTTAGATGAAGCATTTTGGAAGGTTTATTGGAATCTTCATCATTTTGTCTGTGTGAACGAATTAAGGAATCCTATTTTAAAACCAACTATATTTAAGCATGTTAGCAGATTTTAGGACCTGATAACATTTTCCTATGTTAAAATATCTTGCAATTTAAAGAACCTTCCATTAATTGTAATTTTGTATGGACTTGTATTACCTAATTATTTACCTGCTGAATTTGTGAAATGGGTTTACCCATCTTTGAATTTTTATTAATCAGTTCAAAGTTTAATGGATTTCAATATAAAAATACCTACCAGTAATATAAGCTAGCAATGACATATCACCTCCAGTTCCTCAAGAGTTGAACTTCTCACAGAACATGTCACTTATAATACACGTATATAATCTGTATGGAATAAAACTAGAAAAATCAATCTATCCGTTCTAGAAAGTTGAGGATGACAACTCTTCGAATGACTCCGCAGAAATGTTTTACGATGCCAGTGCAGAAAAGCCCGATACGATAGGCCATGGACCAAGATGTAGGGCACGGTTTGACTTTGATGGAGAGGGTCCTGATGACCTTGTCTTTGAGGAAGGGGATGTTATAAGACTTATTGAAAAGGTTGGACTGGAGTGGAGAAAAGGGGAGATCAATGGACATGTTGGGTTGTTTCCCTTGTCATTTGTTGAAATTATTGAAGAGTTACCAGAAGAGGAAGAAAAGGATACAGGAAGTTATGTAAAGGCTATTTTTGACTTTGAAGGTGAAGATGGGGATCTAAATTTTCAGGTATATGTAATAATGGGCTAGTCAGTTGAAACCAGAACCTGCTAATCTACTTTGTCCAGAATTTAAACCTTAAAATGTCCATATACTTTATATATTTGCCGTGAAACAAGGTAATTCTAAGTAACTTAAGTTTTGCCATTTTCTGTCATCCTTAACCATTTATGCCATTTACGTCATCTTGCAATTACAAGATACATAAGCTGCATTTAAATCACTGATTTAAAGGCACATTAAGCCTCAGAAGTAAATAAATGTTTCTTTCTGAAGGAATAGTCAACACATTCATTGTGTTATATGTGAAACAATTTGTGATAAAGGTAGAAAAGTGTAAACAAAGTGGTATTCTGACTTTCGTACAAAATAAGACATATGTTTGTAACAGTACAAATATGCCAAAATAAAGAAGCAAATGGTGACTATATAGCTATATGAACAATGAGTAGCTTTAACAGGACACCAAAAAATAAAAGCTTAAGCATTTTTTAGGCTTAATGGGCCTTAAAGTAGGAGAAGGGGTTAAAATTGATTTCAGTGCAAAAAACCCAAAAAACCCACAACATTTTGCATTGGTTATTATGGTGTAATGTTTTCTGTGCTTTTCATAATTGGTAAAAAGATTATAACTAGCTCATGATGTCTTGTTCCATTTATTCAAGGCAGGTGAAACTATCAAGGTTACACATATGGTTAATGGTGAGTGGCTGTATGGGGAGATAGGGGTCAGGAAAGGTCAATTTCCTGTCCAGTTTGTAGACCATGTTCCTCATGGATTGTCTCCCTTGTCTAGTGGTGACAGTGATGCCAAGGGAGACAACTTCACAGAAACAAAAGTAGAAGATAAACTGACAGCAACTTTATCAATGTGGGGTGATGAAGATCATTATACCCAGGTGATTGTTGATTAACCTAGAACTACTTCATTTCATTTAATTCTGGAAAATATTTACACTGATAATCAAATGGACCTTTCTAGTATTTACAATTTTATTGAAACTAGCAAACTGGCTATCCAATTGCCAAACTCTTGTAAGCCTAAAGCATATACGGTTTTGTTTGTGATATTGTTGTTGTGCATTTGACCAACCAATGAATAAAAAATCTGGATCTGGAAAGGTCTTAATTTTGACCATTGTAGGTAAATAGTTGTGTTCAAGTTCTCCTAATGTTCCACAGTAGACAAGAATGCATATAACTTATGAATAAGTCATCCAGTAAGTTAACAGAAAATTGTTGTTTCTGCCCATGGGACCACTTGTGTGTAAAATGATTAACAGAAGTGATTGTGTTTGGCTACTGTGTAATGAATTCTGCTGAAGCCTGTACCAATATTTACCTGTTTATCCAAAATGTACTGCCAATTTGCCTATAAATGTAAGAGCAGTGGAAGAAGAATAGTTTAAAATTCTATTTTCTTTCATCACTTATCATCACGAGTGAATATATCATAATATGTACTGTACCTTGAACCTGTTGCCATCCATATGGAGCTAATACTTAAGGCAATCTGTCCATTGTTAAGTGACTTGGTAACATAAGGTCTGAATATGGCAAATTTAACATTATTTTTCAGACTGATTCATCAACGGGTGCTTCTAGACTTGACTCCCATGCGCAACATTTTCAAGACCCTGTTTCCATGGCAACCTCAAAATCAGTGACCCCTTATTGTATAGCATTGTATGATTACCCAGCACAATCTATGGATGACTTAGAGTTTAATGAAGGGGACAATATTGAAATTATTGAAAGAATAAGTGCCGATTGGTTAAAAGGAAAAATTGGCGGGAAAACTGGAATGTTTCCATCTGCTTTTGTTGATGTCAAAGTTGATATTACTGAAACAGGTAATTCTTTATTGTTGCTTGTGAATTATTTAAATGAAAAAGAAGTTCATGTATTATGAAAAAATAACAAGGACCTTTTTACTGATGATTTAAGTATTTATGCCTTTTTGGTCACTTATGTCATTTTTACAAAGTGAACTTTACTTTGATATATTTGACAGTTCCTTAAACATCTGTAAAACACTTCAGTGGCCTAGCTTTTATTGTGTGTTATTTGTAATTGGAAAATTGTTTTTGTTTATAACATATTTTTTACCCCCTCAACTACAACAGTTGGAAAAAGAATCTTACACATCTTTGCATTAGTCTCTGGATTTCTGGTCTGGTTGAGGGGAGGAGAGGTCAATATTTGGTGGGAGGAGAGGTGCCAGCATTTGGTGAGGGATAGGTGCCAGCATTTGGTGAGGGATGTCAATATTTGGTAGGGGAAGGGTAGTAAATTGTCAGTCATCCAGTCATATTACCCGAGGAATCATCTTTTAATATGGAAATCACATATCTTCACCCAAATCACATGTTACAAGAGCTTTTACTCTGGAAATATTTAAATATTTAGTTTGCAATTTAACAAAAATCAAACCTTTTAACGGCATCATTTTGTTTGTGAATTTCCAACAGGTCCTACAGCTTCTGAGCCAGATCATGAAGAGGTAACAGAGGTATATGGTGTGGCATTATATGACTTCAGTGGAGAAGCTGACAATGAGTTGACCTTCCATGCGGGAGACAGGTTTGTGGTTCAAGACCTAGTGGAGGGAGCGGAGGATTGGAGATGGGGAGTTATAAATGGACATAGGGGAATGTTTCCTGCAACTTTTGTAGAAGTGGACAGTTGATGAATGTATTAATATAGGTGTCAAATTAGAGCCACAGTGGCTTAGTGCCTACATTTGCTGATGGTGTACCACACACCTCTTTTAGGTTTGAGTCCCGGTTTGGACAGTTAATTCTTAATTGCAGGGAAGTTATCCTGTTGGCATAAAAGTTGTGTTTGTTATTATTAACCTGGCACATGTCTGTGCCTGAAATAATGTTCCAAGGAGCATTTTAGAGTTTACCTTCACTCACAAAGGGTTAAAATTACAAGATGATATCTACAGGAAATGTGCAAGTTAAAATGCAAAAACCTGAAGCCCCCGTTTCTAATATATATGCATCAGTTGCTGAAATGTAAGGAAATGCATACAAATCATGTTTATTGACAAAGGTATAGTTGCTCAAACTTTTAAGCAATTTCATGTCTTCCAGAACAGACAAGATATTTTGGCTCTATAAACTTTTATTCAGATTTCATCCTATGCTTAAAAACCATTCCGGCTCTGGTCAGTTTCTGTGGTAATATTTTTCTGTATTAGAAACTAATAGGTTGTCTGGGACTTAAATGTCTGAACAAAAAACTATGCAGTTATATTTATTGTGCAATGTTATGTTTGTATGTAAAGTTTTGCGGTATTTGATCTGATATTTAATTGTATTTATTTCATAAGGTAATGGAAATGATACAATGTACATGTATAAGAGAATTGTGCTAGCAGGGATGCTATTATTAAACATATTTTTAAGAAATTAATAATTATCTTCATAGTTGAAGCTTTTGGGGCTGTCTGCAAAGTAAGACTGTTTTTGTTAGGAATTCAAAAGTATTTACATGCTCTGATTATATAATAATTCACAAGTTGGAGGAGACTCAAAAGCTGAATAATCTATGTCACTAATTGTATTTCCACTGCTTTTGGTTCAAATGCTGTTTTGGACTTAACTTTAGTGTTGCAAGGTTATTTAAAGTCATTTGGGTTCTTTTTATCACATAATCTTTCCTGTTCCAAAAGCAAACTGAAGAGAAAAAAAAAGAGACAAACAAAATCTAGGGGTTTGAGAGTGAAGGTTTCTTATATAGAGAATCTAATCCTGTGTTTTTTTTTTATCTAATAGCTATATCTTTCTTGGTAGTCATTCTAATATATATGTTTCAGTTAATGATATGAAAAGAAATGCATACAAATCATGCATAATGACAGAAGTCCAGTCCCTCAAACTTTAATGATATGCAGTTTCTTAAAGAACAGACAAGATATTCTGGCTGTTTGACAAATAATATTTCCAGTTTAAATTTACCAAACCAAGCTATTAAGAACATATAAAAAATTTTCTGAAGAAGACAAATGTCACTAGCTAAAGAAAAGCGTTTGTTTTTATTGAACTGATTATATGTATCAAGAAATCATTGTCTCAATTAAGGATATTTTTCATGTTTGTCCATGCCTAATCAAATGACATGAAGTGCAATTTTGTACATATAACATTGTATATTTTATATCCAGTCATAGCTAATAGCCATATAACCAGCTTGCTCAGTATGTATATTTGTGGGTTCAAATCCCTACAGGTAAATTGATTTTTTTTGTGATAGCACTCTCTAGGTAGTGGAAGTCTTGTCCCTGATATGATGCTCTAAAAGGCACATATTAAGACAAGAAATAGCCTTGTTTAAACTTTAAAGTAGTGCTTAGAAACTAATTAACATTGATCTGTCATATAACTAGCTTGCTCAGTATGCATTTTTTGTAGCTTTTTAATCACAATAAGTAAATCGAGTTTTTTTGTGTGATGAAATTTTCTAGCTATGGGGTACTTGCCCGGAAAATGATTCACTGAAGGGGTCTTCTTCCAATAGTAATTCTGAAAAGTAACATTATTTATTATACACTGTTGGTTAAAGTTGCAACACAAGAATTAACCTAAAGTACAACTATTCAACATTGATCTGCAGGGTTTTTATGAATATTTAAATGATAATGTTTGATCTGTGTCACAATTGTTAAAATGCTTGTTATTATAATTATTGTATAATTATATAGCATAATGTAATCATTATAATCATTCTTTATAAATAAGAATATTCTACTTGTATATTTATTTACAATATTTTAATTATTTAGTAAGTTTAGTTTAGTTTAGAAAAATGGAATTACAGTTCACCCAGCCTGTAATTTGGTCAATGCAGCCACGGAAGTTGCCATTGCATTTTAAATGAAATAATTTTTGATATATATGTAATTTATACATGCAAGACATTATATGTATCACATGTACAGATATTCTTTTAATGTCTTTAGAATTTAGATACAGAATCAAGAGTGTAAAAAACTTTTGTCATACATACTTAATTTTTTCAAAATAGGTACATAATTATATTAATGATTGTTATTATTTTTATTTGCAAGTGTCTTTAGTATAGGAAATTGTTCTAAACTGGCCATCTTTTACGAGCCAGTCAATGAATCATGATGATAGTTATTCTGGTAGATTTGTTTTCTATTTAATAATGGTTTCATCATATAAACATTTAGTGTCACTTGGTGTAGTAACAGGTTAACTCCAATAAAATTATATGAGTTATCCCATTACTGCACTAAAGTTACATTTTATTTTTCCTTCATGGTAAATTTATCATGGTACTATATCGTTACATTGAACACAATAGTTGATTTATTTTTATAAAATTTTTGTGATATCAATTTGCATTTAACACAGTAACACTGATTTTCTGTGATATTATATAAGAGTTAATATGGACAAAAATATCAATTTTTGTACAGTATAAAGTGTAACGTTCCACTGTGATTTAATTCTTGTGTACCTGAGGTACATAATGTACAATATTTTGAGTGTGTATGAATGAAATGTTAAGTTTGTTTGTTTATTTTTAATCAATCTGATGTGAAATCTCCAAATATTTTACCTGTTTGTTAACCTGTTTATAGCTTTTTATTTATTAGTTGTTTTTCATTTTAAACGCTATGATATTTAATAGCTTTTAGTGTAAATATATTTGTAAATAATTTCAATTGATTGCTATTCTGAACAGTTAAACCTGGAGTAAAAAAGAAGCATGCTATTAAGTTAATAGCAGGATGGTCTTCACAGGCAAATGAAATGTTAATTGTCAATGTAAGGAAATGACCAAAAATTCAGTGATATTGTTTTGGCCTTGGAATAGGTGTGAAGAATAACAGTCAAAAGTTGTTATACATAATATTGGTGGTTTTTATTTTAAGAGGCCTAGTTATTTTTAACTTTTATTCTCACTGAATTTTTATGAAATGAAGAATTGGGATAGTCAATTATTATATTGAGGGGTGTTGATATCAGAAAAGGTAAAGTTGAGCATCCAGCTGTATAACATAAGGTCAGACTGTGTGTTTACAAACTGGCTTGGCCTTAAACTTGTGATGTAAGACACTTTGTTACTGGGGTTAGGTAATATAACAAATATTATACAAAGGTATGAACAAACATTGGAAGTCTTCCTCAACCAGAAATTTGCCATGCATAAATGAGATGTGTGAGAAATTTTTTCCCTTATATGTATTGCCATAATTTTATTCATTAGACAGCATTTCTACGTAAACATTTATGACGTTTATTATTTGATTTTTTTTTTCTTTATCGTTTTTTAACGTGTTGATCACAGATTGATGTATATTTTTGTACTAAATTTTTGCTTGTCAATGAAGGTACAAGGATTTGTTTTGATGTTTGGAAGAAAGAGGTACAGAAGGAATATATTTTTTTTAGTTTTGCCTGGAACTCCCTTAAACTTAAAATGGAATGTTCCACATTCAAAGCCAGGCTTATCACAGATTCAGCCATTTCTACAGATGCAATCTTACTGAGCATTGAGAGCCTTGTTTTTTATTTACACAAAAAAAATGCAAGAAGTTGACACTTATTTGCCTATAATTACAAGCTATAATAACATCCTGATCTATTGGCACAGATGTACCATCGTTGGAAATTGACCTTCACTTGTCCCATGGTTAGATTACCTTCATGTGAGCTGGCTAAATGTTAATTAATATTGAAATGGCCTATGAAATTGTGAAAAATTCCTAGAAAATGGACTTTATCTACATTAGATTTATCATTTAAACAAATCTTTTATAGTGGGTTAGCTATTTTACATAGGCGGGGAAAAACATATTGGGTCAGTTGATTCACAGATTTAAATATGTATCAAGAGTAACTAGAATCACACATATATACAAATATCATATTTTTATAACAGGGGAAGAAAGAAGATAATTTTCAGGTTCAATTAATTTTGTTAGAACAAACTAGTCAACGAATAATGTAATAATCATTTGATATACATGTATGTTGCTTTTAATAAAGTTATATCCATACTTTTTAATCACTTTTCATTTATGCCTAATAAACTATTTAAATATATCATGGTTTGTTGTGTATTTGTTTGTTTTGTGTAGTTTCTTTTTTCCCACCAAGACAAAAACTTCCAAGCTTTGACATGGTTAGTTACTTAAGCCATGATTAAATGTCTCAGTATTATATTGTTTAATAAGACATTGTCCAATAAGACATTACATAACTGACAAATTTAAAGGTATGGTCCAGTAAAAATTGTCAGATGGTCCTATATTAAAAGCATCTTCTGATGGTCCAATAAGACATGGACTTTTCCGGTTTTTCATAGCGGAACATTTAGCCACACCTTTTCCATTCATTGCTAGGTCAACTGCTCACAAACAGTATCACAAACAAAACCACATGTTCTTTTGTGCAAACTAGGTCAACCAGTGACTATGTATTATCTCAGTGTAGCCATTGGATAACAAGCTAGCCAATTTACATAAAACTGTAAACACTGAAAATTGTCTGGATGGTCTAAACAAATTCAAAAGAAGCTAAAACTTTAAGAAAATAAACAGAGAAGTGCTTTAAATAACAGTTTATTAACTTGTATCTTTCAACATAAAACTAACAAGGGGAAAATATGACTGTTGAAGTAACAGTTACTTCTCTATTAATGTAATGTTTCAGATAAATTAATTCTTAATTTCTCCCCAAATACAAACTTGTAAACAAATACAGTGAAATTTGAGAAAACCTGACGCTGAGAAAATCGGAACTCTCTAAATACCGGACGAATAATTCAGTCCCAAATTTTCCCTTCATTAAACTATTGTATTAAACATTGACAATACCGGAATCTGTAAAAACCGAATATCGGATGGTTGAAAGGGGACTACAAAGTCCATTATATAGACAATTACCCTGACAATACCGGACGACGAAGGTGTGTATGTATGTTGTTAATGCTTAATGAGGGTCCATCCGCCCTTTCGGGCACAAAAAGCAGCTTTCGCTGTCGAGTACGGACCCCGGACATGACACCAGTCATGCCCTTAAAGTATGTTATAATTCAAAAATGGACTTATTAATTGGTTGTGTCTAATACGCTGAGCGGTAACGGAACAATGATTATCTGATTAGTTAATTATGTCTCTTTTTACAGTTTGATTCATTGTAAGGTATAGCTGTTACCGTTTTATATAAATGCCAAAATGCACGAGAAATTGACAAGTTAAAATCAGTATGAATGAAAAATAGAATATTATTATACTGCATTGCTTTTTGTATATTCATTTCCCAAAATGACAACGCAACGGAAATGACATTTATCAGCGCTAAGTTCTATTCCATGGCCTAAAAGAAATTGACTAGAGCTGTCTTATAAGTGACAAATTTAAATTAGTTAAAGACAGTGAAACTTTGCCGAGACCTACTTTAAAAATCTTTATCTGACAAATATGGTATAGGCAATATTTACAATTGGGGCATTATTATAAACAAACAAAGTAAACTATGTTCGTTAAATCATTATCCATTACCCAAATGTAAACATATGCGGGTGTAATCGGACTTTATCGTTATGAGGTAACTGCTGTTCGTTTAAATCCAAAATTTTATTGTATTTATATGCAATAATGGGACAAAACAATTAAAACATATTGTATAGAATTTTTATCATTTCTTTACGAAGCAATATACTTACTCATGATCATGAAAATATACCTTCAGCATCCTTTGTAAGTTATTGCTCAGTATATAGGATCCTGAATAGCTGAAGGGGACATTGAGAATACCGGACCACTGAGAAAACCGAACAAAAACCTCGGTCCGAAAGCTGTCCGGTTTTCTCAACTTACACTGTACCAAACAAATTTGGTGCCATAAAGTTCTAAACATACAAATAATGTTAACAATTTTATTTATAACAATAATTAAATGACTTTAAAAAAGTTCTGCAGAAAGAAATGGTGTTCCTAATTTATGCCCATAAAAACTTGGTGTTAACAATTTAACTTAAAATGAATCATTATGTGCCCATTACAAGAATTATAAACTAACAAATTTATAAAAATATCTTTAAAAAATTGAAAACCAACTTATCTGCCCTGTTTCAGATGGCTCAACAGAAATGAAAGGGTACAAGCAAGGCTCTGTAATTAAAACTAAAAGGCTATAAACATCTATATTTAGCCTTAATGACCTCGACACCATTGACCTCAAACCTGAACCACTGGTACAGGTACTACAGCCTATATAAGAGATCTACAATATTCTATATATTATATATTAAGACACTGTTTCCCGAAGCATAAAAGCACTTCACTATGTAGAAGTCTTGATCCAATCCAACAAAAAGTCAGAATTGTAACTTTTTCTTGCACTAGTTTAACTTAATAAACTTATGTAGACTATAAATCTCTATCAGTTTTTTTGGCTTTGTTTTAAAGAAATAACTTGTTTTACATATACTGTTTTTATTTTGAAGGAACAAAAAATGCTTTATTTTCCCGCCTACATATTTGTCTCTTCAGAAGTACATGTAGATACAGTGCCAACTAGCTGACATTCTTTCCCTATTTTAACTAGGGAAACTAGTATCTGCTATCAACTTCCTTTCTTGCCAGCAAAGAACTGAAAAAAATACATAAAACATGATTACAAAGTCACTCTTGTTAGTCAAAGAAAGTAGTTTCCCTTTAACTTCTAACATATATATATTTATATAAATTAAGTTATACGTAAATGAGAAATCTAACAGATTTTAGTTAAAATTTACTTTTAAATTACTTCTAACAAATGACATACTATGAGTTTTCTTGCAACTGTATCAAATCAAGTGAGCCTCAAATTGATTTAACAACCACCAACGACCAATGTTACATTAGAAACAATTTACCTTTGATACGGCTGAAAACACATTCCCAAACTTGTCCATTTTCTGTAAATGTTTTGAAATCCAGCCAGGTAATTTTGAGATAGTCCCTGACCTGCTGTACCGTCTATCTAACAACAAAATTGTCGCATAGTCCCCTTGATGTCTGATAGCCCGACCTGGTAAGTAATAAATGTGATCATAAAAGACAGTAGTTACTTTTAATTATTTCAGGCACCAATATATAACTATTGACCTCTTACCCTTAATTAATGAGTAAGACAAAAAAGAATTGCATAACTGTTAAAGGAACTCCACCGACGTGTAAAAAACGAAAATTTGAATTTATAACATATATTGGCTGGAACACTCCATTGAAAATCATATTTGTTTGTTATTTGAAGCCCGATTTAAGTGAAAAACATCGCAACACGTCTCATTTTGAATACTTAAAAAATAATTATTCTGGAAAAACTGAGGGAGCGAATGCTCTGAAATTTACACACAAGTTATTGGTTTAGGCCTACATCAAAATAAACATCAATCTCGAACAATTATTTCCAGTCCCATCACGACAAAACTCTTTAGTGGTGTCCCTTTAACCATAATTTTCAAATATTTTTTTTTTCTGTACTGGAAAACAAATGTATTAGTTTAAACATCTAAAATGTTATAATATTATATTTTATAACACTATTTATTTGTCTATAAAATGGATCGCTTTTAAGACCAAATCAATATTTTTACATTGAAATCTACTGCAGTATTTTATGAATACAGTTCAGGAAATCAGGTAAAAGACCAACCTATAGACTGATTCACAGCTTTCATACACAGATTCTCATAGTGAACCTGACCTGGTTGTCTCCCTTCCTTATCCTTGGGCTGAAATGTACAATAGTTAACAATCCCTAAAACATTGGTAAATTGATGTAAATATGGCAACATTTACAACAGTAAAATTTGGTAACAAAGACTACATAAACAACAGAATTTACAGTGGTAATGTACGCTACATAATCAAAATTAAAATCAAAGATTTATTCCCTTTCTTTTTTTTCTTTTCTTTATTTTTAGCTGGGACTGAAATCGATTTTCTTTTTCCTTCTTTTGCCATAAAAAACTACCAGTGTTTATTCTAGAAATCAAAAAAAAGGCCGGATTTTTGTCGAAAAGTGAGAATTCATTACATTTGCTGATGTTTTTTCTTCTTTCTCTATGTAAAATTTTCCCCCTGCCTCTGAATAATTGAGGGGAATTCTCGAAAATATGGGTGAATCCCCCAATCGCCCCTCCTAGAATAGACACTGAACTACATTTGTATATTATCTTTTGCAAATTCAAGTAAAAGGCCCCTTTCACTACATGTGAAATCGAGCCCTCATAATACACATCAAAGCAGTTTCCGCCATTACAATTAAAGTTTCTACAAGCTCAGACAGAAACTGACGTAAGAATTATTTACTTATTTATTAGGTAATCAAAGCTGCAGTCAGAAAGCAATGACTAAGCGTGATTTCTTTACTCAAAATGATCCAAATTGATGGGTAGATAATTTGAAACGTTTTTCTTTTTTGTTATTAATTAAAGCATATTTTTTCAGCATAATTGAGATGCCACATCTGTTTCCTGGATTTATTAAGAGCTGTCGGTGGCAAAGCGTGCTAAACTGTTCTCTGTGCTTCATAGACAAGAGCCAATAGTCTAAGTTCAAAAAGGGCCATAATTCTACTAAAATCCATGTAAAAGTTTTGGGCCTGGAAGTGTGACCTCCTACTATACTTTCAAATAACTTTGTGAAGTTTTACCTCATTCCATACAGTAGTTTAGAGATACCAACCTGCACGCAAAAACTAAACAAAAGTGTGACCCCATCCCCTGGGTGAGTTATATAGCTCTCCCTGTTCTTTGCATATCAAAAATGAAAAATACTCACAAAGTTTGCATTCAGGTATTCCATTTTCTCCTTCAGTTCAGGAGAGTTACTGTTAGGGTACGGCATTCCCACCATCACAACACATCTGTATAACAACAAGAGAGATTATTCTAACCCTAAGCCTGCTAGAATTGATAGGGTATTTTCCTTGCGACCAGAATACATCCCATCCAGGCCAACATGCACACCAAGCTCTACTATTGGAAGCCTATTTTTGTGTGTTTTAATAATGAAATACGTTAAAGGGAGTGTTCAAATTCAAAGCTGAGCAAATCCGCTACACTTTTCAACAGAATATGAACTAAACTTTTAAAAAGTACTGTAAGTTTAACAGAGAAGATGAAGAAAAGTATCCAGTTAAGCAACAAATTTAATACATAGGAAATATTTTGTCACAGTTGGTATTGAATAAATAACATATAAAATAAGTCAAGCATCTTCCTCCAAATAAATACCACCCTGTAAATAAGACCACTCTTTGAAAACCATCTTTGATAAAAATACATTTGAGTACACTATGAATTAAGACCACCTAGACCAGACATCTACCTCCAAACAAAGACCACCCTGTAAATAAGACCACTCGTTGAAAACCGTCTTTGATAAAAATACAATTGAGTACACTCTGAATTAAGACCACCTAGACCATGTATAGATTCTACTTTTAATGGCCTTTATTCACAGGTTTCGGCTGTTATCTATTCAGCTTTAACTGTCTAAAGTAACTACTACATATGTAAGATATGTAATATTTGTTTGGTTGCTGGTTCAATCCTGGGGAGAGGCAAACAACTCTGTGACAATATATCCTGGACATTGAGTCTAACAGTCATTTGTCTCTCACTGCTGATTCAGAAATCATGTGGAGCTTTGTAGTCAGTCACTTGCAAAGAAATTGGTAAGTACTTGTTAGTTATCTAGGAAAGCCAGTTAGGTGGACCTACCACCAAGATTAACCAAAAAAAATGTTAGAATTGACATAAAAGACAACAGATAAACAAACAAACAATACTTTGCTGTTTAATTTAAGGGAGTCTGTTTGTTCCTTTCTTTGAGTTTATATATATGCCATTTCAAATGAAATAAAGTTTATCCCAACATAAACATACCTGCCTAGATCATCAGAGAAGTTGATACCCTCGCTCATCTTGCCACCAACAACACAAAATAATATAGACCCAGTCACACTTCCACTGCAGTTCTATAATGTTTCCAAAAATAACAATAATTTAAAATGGTTTCAATCCTTACCTTGTTCAACAAAGAATACAGTTTAGATTTTGCATTATTTCCTAAAATGTATATGTTTGAATATTGACCAATCTTACATGATTATATACCACATCAATCGGACAGTAATGACCCCTAGCAGGCTATAGTACTGCAGTGGCTTAAACCAGACAGTATAACCCCTAGTAGGCTATAGTACTGGCTTAAACAATGATTTATCTTGATATTTGTAAAAAATTGGTGTCTGAAATCCAGAATTACAAAATACAAATGCAATAATATGCTTAAATTTACATTTTTGAACAAAACATGCTCTGATTCTATATGGGACATGTTCCTAAAATAGAAAATGAAAACCCTCGTACCTGGATACATGCTGTATAATCTTGTAGCACCTTGTCAGCTTGACCGGCCCTTTTAGGCTCTCTAAACACCTGAAAGACCACAGTAAGTTCATGGTTAGTCATTCCAAAAAACTTTCAAGCTTTTATCATAAACATATAAATATACTTAGAACATTGTTCAACAAGTTTGGAAAATGTTTGAACTACCTAACTCTCGAACAAATTTTCACAGGCCCTCAGAGTTCAAGCAAATGAAGTTTGACTGTACTGATAAAAACTACAGAAATGTATCATTCGGATATTCTTATAAAACATTGCTTAACACACAAAAGAAGATACTTTTTGGGTTTGTGTATGGGTCCTATCTGGCCCAAAAGATTACATGGTAAATAAACACTGCAAGCGTAGATCAAATTGTTACATGTCTCAGATAAACAAATTCATATTATCTCTCTATTATTTTGAATCCTCTCAAAAAACCTTTTTCATAATTTGAACATTATTTAAGTGAAGCAACTCAATACAAATATATAGAAGGCTTTTAATTTACCAGAGTTACGTCCCATCCACTGAAATAATAAGCAAAAAGTAATCACCTTTTTCCTAGTTTGAAGTTTTGACAGCACCCCTGAGTTCTCCCAATGACTGTAAACCAACTTCTCATAGTCGTAGGAGGGGAAGAAACAGATAAGACCTCCAGGTACGATGTTACATACATTACATAGCAGACGTCCTAGTTCATCAAGCTGAAAATATAACATACATAAATATAAAACACTTTAAAGCAGGTCAACTTGTTCCATTCATGAATGTAAAAGATACATAAAATATAAAACATTTTCAAAGCAGATCAATTTGTTCCATTCACGGATTATGATACATAAATATAAAACACTTGCTGGTCAACTTGTTTCATTCATGAACTAACTTCTGATGAGACAAGTTCACTGCTTCTAGTCATAATGATTTTTTTCATTAATTTAGCCCCTTACTTTAATAATGGACAATTCCGAATTTAAAGCAAGACTGGTCCAATGTAAATATATAGCAGCATAGTGGATATATAAGTAAAGCCAGAATCAGCAAAAACTGTGTGTCATAAAAGGAACTGCAAAATTATAACATTGTCAAAAAGTAATGAACATTTAATGGAAATGGGTCAATCTGGTACACATATAATTAACAATATCGGGCAAAGTACATGTTAGAACATTCTTTCAAAACATTGCCTGTTGCAAAATAGCTAACCGATATATTTCAGAATGTTGACTGTTGCAAAATAGCTAACCGATATACATTTACAAAAATAGAGTCTGCTATAAATATAATATAAGTGTAACAGTACCAAATAGTAATTCAGTTAAGACATAACAAAATCTAGCTTTCCTGTTTTAGACCTATACTTCACATAATTAAAATTAGTGATCCATACAACATCATAAATTATATAGTTGATTGTTAAGTACAGTCACACAGTTTAGCATCATTTCCATCTTCAATGTACTTTTTGACCAATGATAAAAGGTAAGAAATTGTCACAAATTAAATCCTCATCATTATTAAAGTTGAAGCTTTGCTAGAAAACATTAAAATACGCTTTTACTTAAAGTAGGACTGTCACTGAATATTGATATAATTATATGTACATCAATGATCTCACTATTTTGTAAAGGGACGTCACTTCTATCCCTTTTTCTTGGCATCCCTTTTTCTTGGCTAACTTGAACCCTGAACTTAAAATTTCAAAATGGAAATTAATACATTTCTTTAAATGTATTTTTATTTCTCTTGAATAAAAATGAATATAGAATATAATTCAACATTACGTCACTAAAACTGAGATAAACATAAGTATTGATAAAATATTAACAAGGGCCATTACTCTAGCAAGATAATTCTATTCACTCTTACATAAAGTATATGCTAAGCTACTATTTTTTTTATTGAAATCAAGTTTAAAGTTGCAAAGAATAAAAGACTGTTAACACTGAAGGCCTTAATTTTTTTTGGTTTTGGGTTTTACGTCACATCGACACAGTATAGGTCATATCGCGACATTCCAGCTTTACTGGTGGAGGAAGACCTCAGGTGCCCTTCCGTGCATTATTTCAGGCACGAACGGGCACCTGAGTGAAGGACTTAAAAGCTGACAATAAATGTAAAACAATACAGTCAAATCTGTGTATATAGACCAGTTTCAGGTTTTTGTTGACAGATGGCCTTAAAAAACAGGTGTTTTTGCACTGCTGGCAGTCTTAAACATACAGTTTCCCTGTATTCGGGTTAATACATGTATGTCTCTATATGAACATGACTTTTAAAACATCATTGGTTTTGGATCTACAGTTTAGAATCTGGCCCAGAAATAGGAAAAGTAAATCTACCTATATTCTACCACTCCTACCAGTCTCTGTTGTTTTTGTTGTGATTCCTTTATTATTATAAGTTTCCACTGAAAGCCCTCATCTGCAAATGCCAATCATTTATTAGCTCAACTATACGAAGTATATGGAGAGCTGTCCTACTTGCCAGCGTATGGTCCAGATTTCAGATTTAAGTTTTGGTGCAGTAAAGTATTTTTCACTATAACTTTTTCATTCCTTAAGTTATCAACTTTAAACTTAAAATCATGTTCCTTAACATTAACCACATGTGACAAGGTTCATAACTCTAGCACCAATATTGCAAGAATTATCTCCCCATAAACTTAGATTCTTTTACTTGAAAAATGTTATTATTCACTATAACTTCTTTAGTTTTAAAGGTATCTACCTCAAACTTCAAATACTTATGCCTTATCGTCAATTACATCTTATGTGACAAGGTTCATAACTCTTGAAGCAATATTTTCAGATTTATCTCTCTTTGAATTTTCTTTAAGAAATATTATAATTTTTTTACTTTTTAAGGTACTACTTCAAACTTCAAATATATATTTCTTATCATTACAAACATGTTGTGTGACAAGGTTAATAACTCTAGTGTGACTATTTCCAGAATTATTCCCCCTTGAACTTTGAATTTATGTTAACAAATGTTAATTTTTTACCATAACTTAATACATAATTATACATAATTGATTTTTCTTTCTTAGTTTTGTCTTCCTTACTGAGTCCAGTATTTTATTAGTCGAGCTTCGCTGCTTCCTGTGACAGCTCTTGTTTTTCAAATACAAGTAATACTTCAAAATCATTATTATTTGTGGGGCACTAATTTTTGTTGGTTTTTGTTGATAGGTCAATCCACAAATATAAGATCTAACAAAATTTTGTTTTGTCTGCTGTAATATTATATTGCATAACATTATTCAAATTTTACCTGTTGGAAAAATTAACAGGCCATGAATTAAAAGTGGCCATCACCTTTTCTAAAAATTACTGTTATTTTAAGATAAACCATTTTCATATAATTGTCACATCAAAGGAATTCAGGTGTAAAATGAAAATTGCCAATGATAAAATACATTAACAACAAGGAAACCCAACGATACCTCTATCAACTGGTCCGCTCTCTATACAAATGTATGTTTATTGGTAAAATGGGCAATTCATTGCCAGATCTTTTATTTTTAGAAACAAACATTACTGGCACCCTATAAATACTTCTAAGGACGCTGTTTTGAAAAAGTCCTTAACAGTGATTTGATGCACTTTTCCACGATAAAATTACTGAAATACTAAGAACAAAAAATAAAAGCTGCAGGCTGCTTTAAGAACCTATGAAAACATTTTTTGAGTACTACTTTTTTGAGACAAAACCACAAAATTTCATGCCCACAAAATTAAACAAATTCACAGTACTTTTCTCACGTTGAAAGAAAATGACAAGCAACCATTAAAAGGTCTGCCATCAAGTAATTTCTAATTGGAGTACATGGGGTTTGAACATGCAACCATTGGACTTTCATTTAGGCAGTGTTACCACAGAGCTATGTACCCACCCTAGTGAGTACCTGTACTTTTTCTGTGAAGTATACTTTCTAACATGATCTAGTTCACAGACACAACAATCTAAATCTATTTACAATCATCTATATATAGTGCAATATTTTCAGTTGTTTTTCATTAGCTTCAACAACCTTCTTTCTGGACACACTGTTTTTCATGTTAATGAAAAACCATTACAGATACAGATGTACTGAGAAATCATTTCAGATAACATGTCAGCCTTGGTTTCTTGGTATTGTTTTCCAGTTTTTGTTGGGTTTCAAGTCATACTCAGACACAGTGTAGGTCATATAGGTGATCTTCCAGCTTTACTGGTGCAGGAGCACTTTCTTGTATTATTTCAGGCATGCGTGGGCATCTAGGTAAAATCACTGGACGTTCAGTAAGCTTTCTGGATTGCCTCTACACATGAAAGCAGTCAAAGTCTATGATGGGATTCGAACCCAGAGCATTGAGGGGTGAATGGCAATAATGCATTCAGGGATTTCAACCCCACCAGTTATGCTGAAAACATGATTCATTTAAGAAAACTAAAACATAAACATTAAGCAACTTTTAAAAAATTGTACATATTACTAAAAAAAAATGAAAAAAATACAAATCTAATGCTGATTGTAATTTTCCAATATTGCAAATCATATTAAACAAAAATTATCATTTGAATTTTAAGAGGAGACAAAATCATAAAATTAATTTTTTTTTAGAAAAATAGGTTGTATACGTTCACAGCTTAAATTCAACTTTTAGAAACATGGTCAAAAACTTCTGCTAAATCTTTATAATTTTTTTTTATTCAAATCTCACTCAAACAATTGAGAAAACAATAAAACTCTTCTTGACAGAATACATAAATAAATCAAGTTGTTTATTCAGTGAATTCTTTGCTACGTGCATTTAAACATGGAGTCTCTATTTAACCTCGCACACATCTGCATATCTACAATCATGTTCGCTTTACTTTATGTCCTGGCTGTATTCACCGATATTTGTGAGTGCAAACAAGTGCACAGAAATTCCCCCTACACCTAAAATGATCAAATGGAATCTTCCAAGTTGAGAACAATCTATTATTGTAGGCCACTGCTATTTGAAACCTGATTGGAAATTGAACAAATCAATACCAGTCTTTGTCAATGTTTACTACAATATTGTCAGGCAAACATTCTAGTAATTAGGTTGTCCGCTCAAAAAATGGTCCCATTGTCCTACACACGCTCCTTGTTAAATGACCCAGACATCAGTTCACATCAGGTCACAGTCTGACTTTGAAGCAGTGACCTAGAACCAGTCAAATTCCTCACAACTTCCTGTATTAGACTGGTTACATAGCATCAGCAGCCTCATTTTGATACCACTATGACCTCCTAGACCTCAAATCATCAATACTGAGGCAGTGTTCTGCAGGCTATGCATATACTACTCTATTTATTTCATTAAAGGTTTATATTGATGAAGGGGTCATATCTCAGTAGGTAAATGTAATACTTTATACAGGCAGGATAATATTCATCAGCTTGACATTTCAGGGAAAATGTCAAATATGTTTCATACATTGGGAATGTTATTTTTTGTTTGTTTTATGATTACAAAAAATATATTTATCCTGTACTGCCTTAAACTTTAATGATGTAACACATACTTTAAACATTTCATTGAAAATTGGTCACAGTTATAAGCATAATTATATAAGCATTGGTCATATAATCGTCAAAAATTATTTTATGGAATACAATAAAAGTAACAAGTAAACTCTATATAAGCAAAAATATGCAGATTTTTTTGTTTTCTTTATGTTGACA